ACGGACGGACGCACACAGGGCAAAACATAAGTCCCCGTTTTCGGACTACGTCCGAACGGGGACTAAAAATATGATGTGCATAGTAGGTCTAATTGTCTCCCATCAGTTTACAATTGTCAACTTCTAAACATTAATAACCATTGCTCACTACTTTTAATACTCAACTAGAATGTAGAACAGAAGTAATAAACTTGAAAGATTCCGAAACATGTCATCGAAATATTATTATGCACCTACTACTTACATATATGGATGTTCAAAATACAATAACTACCATTACAAAGTCATGCACTGTCAAATGATGAACGCATTAGCGTGTATAACTCTTAAGGTTATTGTACAAGATTAACCTAATAAACAAGCATCAATGTCGTGCCCGCTCCTTTATCTCCTCACTACACATTAGTATGTGGTATCAGGGCTCAGACAAAACATTCTCTGAATTCATTGGAGATATTAAAATTATATGTTTGCCTTTACGTTGACTTTGACATATATTCGTCAATGTTTTTTTTTTCGTAATGTATTTCGAAATAAATTACAAAACTCGATTTAAGCCATCAATACTAAGATTAATCTCGTTTGAACATCCACGTGCTGCCATGGTGACAAATTCAGTTACTGAGAACTGATACTCCATCAACAATACACCTATACGAGTGGTATAATAGTTGAAAGCTTACAATGAAATATTACAATCAATAATGAAAGACACCTACTGATTTTATGCGAGTGCCTAACCGGAATTATTATTTATTTTAAGAGTACATTAATCATTCTTTCAACATCATTTAATAATATATAATCTATATAAAAGACGGCAGTGTATCGTGATGCTCTATATTAACGTACAGTAAATCTAAATTATTGGCAGTCGAGTGAATCCACGTTAATAATTATCAGTACATTGCACTCATTTTATTTTTGAAAACAGTAAAATTCATACATTTAAATAATATACACATATACTTTAAATAACATATAAATTACGTTCATAACAGTAACGTAGACACAGACTGGTATTTTAACATATATTCAGCAATCAATTGGTGTCAATTATAACTGTGTATTGGATGTTATCCTTATCAAAATGTCTTTAACAATTGAGAAATAGAACAATAATAACAATAATAATTTCACATATACAATACTATGCAAGTAAATGATAAAATGTTAGCGGAAACACTGTTTTGAGATCAAGGGCATAACTAAACAGTGGCCCGAGTTCAACATTTGATTATCAAACAGAAGCAAGTGAAAAGATAAATAAATAAATCTCGTAATTTTGTGTGTGTAATTATGCTTTATTAGTGAAAAGAAATCAAGAAAGGTTTCTTTTTGTTGATCAAATCATTAAAAATCATTATATTAAAACGTCCAGAATTCCCTTTTGTAGGGAAGACCGCCGAGTTAGTATCATAAAAAGAGTACGTAATAATAAACGGTAAGCGTTTCACAGGACCCTTTCACCATTTATCATAACCCCAACCATTCCCCTCCTTTTATTCGTTCTATAAGTCCTCTTCATGTGACACATACAATTATCTGGAGCGCTATATAATTAGATTGTTCGTTATTGATACTCCATCGCAAACAATATTTAGTTTATCTGCTATATCAAATTGTGATTTACCTTTAAGATTGATAATTGTATCCCAGATCCAATTCATATTTTTAACATTAAATACAGTTTTCGCAATAACGCTATTTTTTGTCTATCTTAAATCACTTGCGATGATGTTGCGAAAACTTTTATAGTAATTCACTTTTATATCAGCAAAATTGCTTTCACCATCTTGCCAAAAAGTCGGTGTTGAGTTAAAATTTGTTTACCAATTGTTATCCAATGGTTTATCTATATCATATGTTCAAGAACGTTTTATTAAAATGTTCAGTCGCTATATACACTGACATCGTGACAGTGACAGTATGTAATAGTAGAAGAGGTAAAAAAGACACAAAATATTAAATGATATGAAAGTCGAGTTACTATGCAAACGTGGATAGTAGTCATATTATCTATGGTATTTGTTTGACTTTTTCGGTATTGCTAGTTGTTGTTGTGATAATCTTTTTCAAACTGAAGCATGAGAGACTATTAATGAGGTGTTCATTTTTTGAATTATTCATATTTTAACACTGATATTGAAGTCTCCACTATCACATTTACAGTATGTATCAAATCTACTGATAGCGTCAATACGCATATGTTGCGACCAATAAATTGCTTACTGTCATTGTTAATCTGAACTCACAATGACTTCTAATACACACTGTGACCCTCCATCATTGCACCCAATGCAAATAGGTTGGCCAATAAAA